AGTGTCAGAAATTGTACTTTGAGTTGCCTTGTCTGTTTTCACTTTAAAAATCATCTCGTCTAATTCGCTCATCCCTTTAAGCAGCCTAATTAAAACAGCTTTCTTTTTTTATTTAATTTTAACAAAGCAAATATTTACCGTTTTAATGATTTATTTATTCTTCATTTATAGGTGTTGCGGTGGTTTAGTCGTCTCACAACGAGGAGACACAGGCCCGGCTGGAGCCTTTCTGTGTGGAGTTTGCACGTTTTCTATCAGAGTACTCTGGCTTCCTCCCACAGCTCAGAGACCTCCAATCCACGGCTGTAGGCGTAGGATGGTTTCCTGTCTCTACGTATTGGCCTTGCAATGCACTGGCCACCTGTACCCTGCCTTTTCGCCCTATCACAGCTCGAACAGACTCCCCCCACCCACCCATGTCAGATGACCATATATGACCATATATTATCTAGCTGTTAAAGCCTGCAGTTCACTGTATTCAAAACAAGCAGTTAATCCCCTCCATTTAATACAGTTTAGGGTAGATTAGGGCTGACACTGTTAACGACACTCATTTTCTATATAAAAATGCAAACAAATAGAACTAAAATCATGTAATTATGAATTCTCACACTCTGAGTATTACAATTTGTACTTTATGGCCGAATATATGCAGACAGCATAGTGTTAATTGGTCTGTCATGGTGCGATTTCTCTCTGGCCCTGGTTTTATTTGGTTTATATGAGTGTGTCGGTAATAACAGTTTAAAGCCGTACCGTAGGGAGATTATCAGGCCATGCTACAGTGATGGACATTATCGCTCAACTACATGCATCGCTTCTTCTCCACTCATTGCTCAGAATGGCTGTTGGGGAGCTCACCAAGAGAGCTGCTTTGTGAACTGCATTTTGGAGTGTGTGCGTTTGTGCAAGCTGCCAAACAACATCAGTATATGTGTGTGGGGGTTGCTGTTGCTTTGTCCCAATGCCTGCACTCATAGTGTGTGCATGCGTGTGTGTTTTAATGTGGCCGGTAGTATGCGTGTGAATGTGCTCATGGGTGTTCACGAGTATTTGTATGTGGTGTATAAGGGTGTGTGTGCACGCATGTAGAATGACATTTACTGAAATGTGGCAGTGAGAGAAGAAACATCTGACTCATAATTGAAGTGCCATGAAAGAAATATGAACAAGAATCTGTATTGGGCTTACGTGCTCAGGTTTAACCAGGGGCAGGAGCATGAGGCAGCATGCTAAGCCAGTCCTCTGACTATCTTACCACCCCGAAGGCTGATTACAATGCTCAAAATGATACTTGGGGAAAAAAATGACAGAGGAAAACACACAGTATTCAAGGTGAGCAATCCTGATGATAAAATCGATAGGCCGTGGCTCTGTGATCTCCATCAAAAAGAGAGTCTAAGATGAATGCAGTTTCTGTGATTCAGCATCCGAATGTCCTGGAGGATAAAGCAGTCACCCTCCTGCTCTTAATGTGTTGGATTCTTTGAGCACCAAGGTGAGGCAGACAGTTTTTTTAATATATAAAACCGGTGACATCCTATATTTTTACTGTTGAAAACAAGTGTCATGAAGGCTACTACGAGCAATCATGAATTGATCCTGCTAACAATTTATTTGCCTGACAACCCAAATCATGATGTACTGTAGCTCAGTCGTTTTCATCCCACATGTCTGTTGCCCTTTTGAAAAATAAATCACATGTGACAGCTCATCACAGGTTGTAGAGCTGGGAGGAGTTTATTTTTCAACGACTGTTAACTGTTATAGGCATTCCCAAGCTACAACCTCATGAGCTGCTGATGGAGATGTTTTTTCTTTCCACAGTTTAAATTATGCAGTCTGAATGAAAGTATCACTATTAGAGACTTGATCAGATTCTCTGACCATTACACAGGTGGCTATGGAATTTTTAAAATTTTAATATACTGACTGATAGCATGTCTTGATGTGACTTTTTAAATGTTAACAGTGTGTTCAAGAGATCCGTGCTTCAGTTTGGAGAATGAAAGACAATGTTTCTTAGCACTAATCAAAGGTATCTATGGCTGTAACCATATATGTACATATGCACTCATACAGTTTAATGTATGTTCACACCAAAAGTGAAGCAAAGTTTCATTTCACCTCACCTTACCACATTAATTCAGTGTCAACCTGTGAATATTCAGCCCTAGCAGTCATGGGTATAAGGACTAGTGCAACCAATAAACAAGTTACAGTAACATATTCTCACAACTTACCATGAACTAGGGACGATGATTTATTTGCTAGTTGTTTAAACAAGAGAAAAAAGTCAACACTAGTTGAATTGTACAGCTCCAGCTGCCCTCAAACAGACTCAGTAGTATCTCCCTTCATTTCCAGTTGTCCATCACTTTAGGAGAGAATCACAGTGGATTGGAGAGACCAGTGTGATGCAAATTGTTTACCAAAGTAGAAATACATTAATCTACATGATTAGCCTCTATCTGGACCACCCAGCAATTTATATATCAAATATGTATGAAGGATGACTTTTTACATTGTGCAATTGGGGTTGTTACTCAAAAAAGTAATTTATTACACATTACTTATTACTTTTCATAAAAGTAATACTGCACTCAACTTTGTTACTTTATGTTATTGTTACTGTACTTTGGTGTTACTCCATAAACTAACCTGAAAGGCATTGTCACATAATTAAAAGTCTATCCTGCAAATGTCTATCCTAATGAGGACACAGATGATCTCACTTTTACATATGAACACAACACTTACAAAGTAAAAAAAAAAAAGGCTTTTAAGGCACTGTGATGCTACTGTAGAAACACATACAGGTGGAAATGGAGGTGAAAAAGCTGCAAGCCTCACTGCTCATCACTGGCTTTGGTATTGGTTCAAATTCAGGGTCTGGCCGATGAGCTCAGGTGTTGCTAAAGCTACACTCAGTTTAAATGTGAATTTTAGATAGAAAGCACTTAGATGAAGAAAAAAGTCACACACATATTCAATGTATGAATGTTTGTGTGACTGAGTGAATGAGAGGTTGTACAAAGTCCTTAGAGTGGTTGAGTAGAGTAGAAAAGTGCTGTACAAAACCCAGTCTATTCACCATTTACTATGGGCTCTTTGCTAGCTTTGTGTTAGCATGCTGTCTGTGCAGATGCTTGCCGAGAGCCACAGTTGTGTTAGCAGTGTAGCAGTTGGCTCCGTCCCGGACACAGTTTGCATTTCACAACAGCACTTTTGTCCTTTTGTGTAATAAAAATAAAAGTAATGTCTATATTTCCATTTTTCAAAGGCTGTAGATCGCTAAACCGTTTTCTTCCTCCCAGTATACGAGATGAAATCAGCTGACTGTAGCGCAAACATGCAGACAAAGAAAAAGATATTTATTTGTTTGTTTTTTCCTTCTATTCACAGTGTACAGATAAATATAGAGTATTTCTGAAAGTAATACCTAATTGTAACTGTAATGTAATTACTTATTTTAGTACAGTAATGTTACATTATTGCCTTACTGAAAAATATTTGGAATGTGTTACACCCAACACTAACCAAGCCTGCTAGCATTGGCTAGCATCCCAACCATCTGAAAACAGTCTCTTCTGGAGCCAAAAAGCTAATAAAGCAGAATAATGCCTATATCCACATCTTATATAAATAAATCCATAATTGCACATTGTTATTCTCTAACTATAAATACATTCACCAAGCCATTTCCTCCTGAGTTGCATGCATTTATTATGATAATTCATTGGACAGTTTTTGTTTTTTTGTGAGTTAATCCTGCACACGCTACAGCAGCTCCGAAAGCTAATACACAAAATGCTCAGCTAAATGCAATCACGTGCTCTGCTACAGGCCAGCTCAGTGTGTAATGGCAACGGTTGCTAATGTTGTATAATGTTAGTGATCTTTAGATTTTGCTGTTTTACTGTGCTTTTGGTGTTTATCTGCATTGCTCAATCACTTCATTCCAGCACCCCATTTTTGCCCCTTTTACTGGTGGTGACTAAGTTTCTCGGGCTTGTTTTAAATTGTGCCTGAAAATAAAATGTTTTTAAATATTCAGAGTACGTTGGAAGCAACTGGGTTTGGGCTGATAGGGCAGTGAAGTCTGAAAGCACTGAGGAAGTATGGGTTTTTGTCTTTTCATGGGATTTACTGACAATAGGAAACACAGAATAAAGCAGCTATATCCTTTATGCTAACAGCTGCCAACAAGTTCGATAAAATCGGAAGCAATATTCTAAAGAAATTCAGCAACATGGAAATTTCATTTTATATTCAAATTGTTTGTAGTCAGGCCACATCCACTCTAAATGTAAAAAAAAAAAAAATAAGTGAGGAGGGAAATCAACTGTGTCAGAGAGATGGATGGAAAAGGTACAAAGCTCGGGTAGTGCACTAACAAACTCCATTTTGTGTTGCTGCAGCTGTTTCCATGGAGCTCTCTGTCTCTCCTCTTTGCTCTCTCACTCTTTCTTTCTCAGCTTCTCCCTTCCCTCTCTCACTCTCTCTCTCTCTCTCTCACACACACACAGGCTTACACATACACACACATGCACAAGTGTCTGAAAGGGGATTCAGCTGCATGAGTCAATGCAACCAACCGCAACTCAGAGAGAACCTCTCTTTCTCTCCAGCACACTCTTCCGCACTCCTCTATCCTTCCAGCATCACGCCCATCTTATCATTTTTTCTACTTCATTTCAATAATTTCTTAATTTATTCTAAACCCCAGTCACAACAACAAACCCACATTATGCAGCACACTCAATTACTGTGATTTTGATACATGAGCACTACATCAACAAGCCAGTCCATGTATTTACAGTCCTGCTTTTCTCTCTCTCTCTCTCTCTCTCTCTTTCAGCCTTATTTAGAGTGTATGTGGCAATCAGCAGAGCTCATTACTTCTAAGCTAGGTGGCCTGCAAAGCTGCCCCAGAAAATGTCCTTGAAGAATAAGGTGAAGGAAATAAAAAAAAAACAGAGAGAGGAAAGGATGCTTACCGAGGACTCCAACGCGGTAGTTGAGAGTGATAACGATGACATTTCCGTAGCTGGCCAGCACGCTCCCATCGATCATGTTGCCTGTCCCCTCCATGTAGGACCCTCCATGGATGTAGACCATCACGGGCTTGGCCCCAGTGTCTCGTATGTCTGCAAGAGCGGCCATCATTAACATATTCACAAAGCCGTCCATCCTCTCTGATCAAGGGTCAGCGCAGATTCAGATAAAGAAGTTATAGCACATAGTGGTCACAAACAGACAAGCTGACGATCACCTCCCAGATACCAGCTGTATTCATTCAGTCTTCTGGCCTAATAATGGAACTGGAAGCATTATTCTTTTCATATCAGCTGTACGAGAAACAAATGACTGTCCACGCTTTTTTTTTGCTGTCCAGCTCTATTATAGCAATCAGCTATCTCATCTAAAAACGTGGTGAGTCATTTACTTCCTATAAACCAAACTATTAGGCTTGTATTTGGTTTTGCATTGCCTCCCAGGAGGCAGACCCACTTCCTAATATAGACATGCAGGAAGCCATTAGGGAGAATAAAGAGAGAGGTACTCTGACACATCTCCTAAGCAGAGAGAAGCCTAATCTGGCCTGACAGTGATAGGGAAAACACACTGGCTAATTACACAATGCTACCTCGCGCCTCCTTTTTACACAGGCCTATCATGCCGCCGCAATTTATTTGCACAGTCCTGCTTGGGATTGCAGGCAGTTAAAATTTCTGCTTCACTTTTGGCAAAATGCTGTTTATTTTATTCCTGGAGCAGTTTTTGATACCCAGCTGGAGCGACACTCCAGCCAGATAAAGCACATCCAGAGGTAGAGGGATGAAAAAAGCCTCTGTCTGAGGAATAGACTGAATTACTGACTGGCTAGCTAGAGCTGGGAGACAAGACAAGAAACTCTCATTTTCACTCGTGCTCCCCCCTGCATTCGGTGCAGCTTCTTGCCTTCCCCCTCCCTTGCTTTGTATCACTTTCACTCACAGACTCTCCCCTGTCTCTCTCCCTGTTTTTTCTCCCGCCTTCTCCCCGTCTCTGTCCAACTCCCTGCCTTTCTTTTTGTCCCCCCCACAAGCCCTGAGAATGGTGAGAATGAGAAGGAGCAGGAGTGCAAAAAGTGTGGATGACATCGGAACAGAGAGGGAGAAAGAAAAACACAGAGACTATAAGGAAGGAAGGAAAAAAGAAAGGAAAGGAATACAGATAGAAATGGAAAGGATATTAAGAAGAGAGCAGGAGAAATAAAAAAAGGAAAGAAAGCAATGGGCTCGGATTTAAAAGGATGGTATTGTATTCTGGTTGCTATGGTGACTGAGAGCCAAAATTCAAAATCCTCAAGAACAGCTAATCGCAGACCACATCCTGAACAGGCTAATCTGCATCGATCTGCAGGCGCTCCTCATCGTTATGCACCCCAACACATTAGCATGCTCAACACAGAAGACAACTACTTAGATGCATTTTGTCCAGACACCCTTTTTTTGTAAACCTCTATAAGAGAACTTAGCCTGTTTCTTTTTTCTTTTTTTTTACATTATTCCCTTGGTTATTCATGGCCCTGTTACATTTTAAAGCAAAGCAATAAGTTGTACTATATATGATGTGGCCTTATTTATGGATTCCTTTATCTTGCTGGTATCTGAGAAGGCTGCACAGTGAAATATGATTTATAGCTGACACTTCTCTGTACACACACTTATCTTAGACAAGAGGAGGAGGGGATGCATGGGGTGAGAAGGCATGAAAAGTACAGTCAGAGAAGGGAGGAGGAGGAGGAGGAGGGGTTCAGAGAGGCAAAACGATATCCTACACAAGCTATTCAAAACAAATGGGCCACAGATACAAAGAGAATGGCAGAAAGGAAGAAGGAACAGGGGGCAGAAATAAGAAAAAAAAGAGATTAGTCATGTCAATGTTATCAGTCACCTCTTTTGTTGATTCACATCGTGTCTCCATGACAACAGTTAAATCCCTTTGGGAGAGCGATACAAAACATTCGAGCTCCATTTGTTCTAATCTATTCATTGAGTTGATCTGATGTGGGAGGTGTCACATAGATGTGATATACAGCGCTCACTCATCTGTTGTCAGAGGAAGATATGTACGCAACAGATCCCAATCGGATTCTGGTTTACAGTGAGAAATGATAATCCTTTACGGATACATCTGGGCCGATGACTAAGTCTTCTTAACCAATCAGATCGGAGTTTACTTGGTCACGGTTAATTGCCTAATCTAGTGAAGCAGGTGACTAAGTGGCTACCTCAAAATAAAAAGCTGCTTCCTGATTCACTGCTTCTCCGGGGGCAAACACATCATTACATCAACACACATATTCTTAGAATCAAAATTTAGCACAGCACTGTGGCGGAAAAGAAACAGAGATTTATTCATTAATGCACAGGCTGGTATATTTGCAATATGAACTCCATGCACAACAAGCTCAGAATATTACAGAAAGACAAAAACAAACTTGTGTTTTGGAGATGGGCAAAAAAACGTGATTGATGGCAATGTAGATGAAAGCTGATGTGCAATGAAGAATGAACTCAGCGGGGGGAGAAAAAACTAATGTATGTACACTTTTGTCACATTTATTTTAATACGATGTGGTGTCATGCAGCAGCTACTACACAGTGACACTCATACACTCCCAGCACGTATTACACAAACAGCAAATAAATGTCTCACTGTGGGGAAAAAAATTGCCTAATGAATGAATAAATCAAATGTTTTCCGTTTGGATGGTAGGTGCAGCCGGAGTTAAAAATATATAGCATGAGCTTTAAAAAGCAACTGAGGGGCACAACCTTTCATAGGTTGCCTCACAGTGGCTCTGGTCTGATTGGAGTGTCAGTGGGAGGCATAACTCAGGCCTGAGCTGAGCCCCTTAGTATTGCTGCCGCAAGCGAAACCCACCAGGAGGGTTTGGAGCACTCCTTCCTTTTTTCTGCAATCTTATTTTCTCTCACTACCTGTACCTCCACCTTTTTGTCCTTTTGCTTCTCACTCCAATGAAAGCAGTCAGTCATATATCTGACGTTAAGCGCCCCGGAACTGGCCTTGACACTCCGGACTAGGACAGGACAAAGGCAAGTGGAGATAAGTGTCGGTGGCATTCACTGTGTCAACACTTGGTGAAACATGGTGGCTGTCAGCGGCTATAAGTGAGGGCTGAGGTTTGGGGAAACAGGTGACAATGTCCTGATGTGGCAGGACATGACACGCAGCCTACTGTAGTGCTCTTGTCAGGTCAAGCTTCACGGTCCACCCGTGATAGGCCCATTACTGGCATGTTTGCATTTAAGAACAGGATATCGCGGATACATTTCGGGAGGATCTTTAAAACAGGGAAAGCAACTACAAGAAACTATACAGTGGATTGTTTCATTGCCAGTGTCACTGGTGGTATTCTGAAAGTCACTGAATGTTTCCTAATATTCACTTTACACCGAAGCTAATGAACTAGTGCGGGTGGCTAGGCAATGGGAAAGATAAGAGGCTCAAAAGAGTGAACACACAGAGACAAATTACAAATTTTCTATTTTGTGCTAAGAAAAGCCAGCTAAATGAGGAACATTTATAAAATTTGAAAAATTTAATAAATGTTGAGCCCTTTTATAATCTGCTATAAGACAGGGATGGGAAGGGCTGAAGTCGAGCTGTCACGGTGTCATATTTTTCCCTTCATGACTATTGTGGTTGAGAAAAAAAAGAAAAAGAAAACACATGGCAACCTAAATATCATCACAGCACCACATCAATAATGTCATCAGTCAACTTCATCAATAACTTTGTTTATTGTCTGTTGTCTTTTTTTGCAGAATAATGAAACTGACAATATACAGTCAGGTCCTTTACTGATACTTTTTTCCCTTTTTTGACCCTGTGCACCACCGCTGTGGTTTTAAAGCAAACAGTCAAGATTGTGACTGAAGTGCAGACTATCAGCTTTAATTTAAGGGATTTAACAAATGTATTGCATTAACTGTTTAGGAATTACAGCAGTTTTTATACAGAGTTGCCTGTTTTCAAAGGCTCAAAATTAATTGGATGAACTAATATAATTTTAAATATGAGGATTGTTTTTAATATTTGGATCAAGAGCCTTTGTAGTCAGTGACTCCCAAGTGCTGCGTTCCCTCTTTTAAGATGCTCTGCCAGGCCTTTACTGCAGCCTCCTTCGGCTGCTGCTTGTTTGTCGGTTCCTCTGCATTCAGTTTTGTATTCAATGACTTAAAAGCTGCTCTGTACTGGGTCGAGATCCAGTTACTGACTTAGCCACTGAAGAATTTCACATTTCGTTGTCTTGAGAAACTCTTGGGTTTTGCAGTGTGCTTTGGGTCATTATGTATTTGCACTGTGAAGGGCTGTCTGATCATTTCTGCAGCATTTCTCAGGCTGAATCTGAGCAGAGAGGGCAGAACTGTATACTTCATCCTGCTACTTCCATCAGCAGTCACATCATCATAAACACTAGTGACCCGGTTCCAGTGGCAGCCAAACATGTCATTGCCATAATATTGTCTTTGAAGATGATGTGCTTTGCTTTAGATCATGAGCTGTTTCTCTTCTTCTCTGCACTTTCTCAAGTTAACCTTATCTTTTTTCCTTTTTTTTTTTAGATATTTTCTGGCAAAGTCTAATCTGGTCCTCTTATTCTGTATTTTATTCTGGAAGGCATCTCTTGGTTGTATACAATGATACACCTACCTCCTAGAGAGGATTCCTGACTTGGCTAGATGTGGTGTAATTTCTTAACGTAGAAATATTTCTACAATCTTACAATCCCACTTGACCTTTTTGCCTGAAAGATCACAGTTAATGCGAACAATTAATTGAATATTTTTGTTAAACCCCTTGAATTAAAGATGAAAGTCTGCCCTTCAATCGCATTGTGGATTGAACAATTGCCAACTTTGAATCATTGTCCAAATATTTATGGACCTAACAGTGAGTGAACAGTAGTGAGACAGTCTGTAACCAAATTATTCCAATTATTAAAATATTTATGATATTGTCATATATGTATTAAAACACCTCTGCGCTAGACTACGTGATTGCTCTCCATACCTGATATGTCTAAGTAACTAAAATAAAATAAAATTAAAAAACTGAAAATAGGATAGAGTAAAAGGGAGAAGCTTGTGAGTGTGTGCGCCTCTATTAGGAACATTGACTACAGTAAACTTAAAGGGAGGAATGACCTTTGTGTGAAGATGACATCTTGCTTCCTGGCTGCTGTGCATGTGTGTTAAATATGATGTTGGAAACAGGGTAGATAGAGTGTGTAAATACATGAGGATAGAGAAATGAAACACAGGGATAGCCAGTGGTTGAGTTAAATGAAAAGAAAGACAGTGTGAAAAACCTACAAAGGCTATTAGCCAAATCCCCCTACAGCTGGCCAGGATCTAGTTTAGAGGAGGAAAGCAGTAGAGGTGCTGTCATCCCTAAGACTCACAGACAGCTGTTTGCTGCCAGAATGAAAGAGACGTAACCCTTTAGTCTTTCAATAAAGCCTGCTGTCCTTGACATGAGTTTAAGAGCTGGTAACTGTACAAACACACTGCAAGCTCGATGACAGCCCACGAACAAACACACTGCAGCGCACAAACCCTTCAGACCTGCTCTGGCATTGTATGAGGAAAGAGTCAAAGTGCCTCTGTGAACTAATTCAAAGCCTTTCTCCACTCCATTCCTGACAATTTTTTCAAAAGAAGTCTGTTTTTACATGTTTTGCCTTCCCAATTATTTTGTGCCACTCAAGAGGAAAGGACAAAGAAAAAAATAAAGATGACAGTACCAGTCTGGCTCTCCTACCCTTTGAAATGGCTCAAATGATGCCCGTGTGGATCAGCCATTAGCAGCAATGCTTATCTTGGAAAGAAGCTGAGCAGTAGCATTCCAAAGATCTCTGCATAAATGGGCTTCAAGGGGCATGATTCCTCTTCTCTGCCACATCAGAGAGAATAGGATAGTGGCAGAATAGAGAAAATGGTGTGTGAATTGCCCCCACTGTCGATTTGCCACTCTCCAGGCTGCCTGAGCTGAGCTGAGGGCTTTGCTGGATAGGGATCCAGTCAGGCCTGTGCGATGGAATTAATGGTAATACCCAGGCAGGTGGAGCTCAGCTCTGCTCTCTGGCACAGCCCGAGCATCTCTAAGGGTGGGGGTAAGTCTGCGTGTATCTGCATGTGCTCGCTGTCTTCATAAGTGTTTGCTTCTAGAGCTGGGCAGCAAGCAAGTTTGTGTGTGCACTGATTTAATGGATGCGAGCGTACATGTCTGAGTGTGTGCGAGCACACTCTCGGTGGAGGTATTCCTTCTGATTAGAGCTAAGTCTCAAAGCGCCAAAAGACAGAAACACACAGTTCTATTTTTCATCATTGGGATAGGGCTGAGGCAGCAGTGGCGCAAGACAGTCCATAGGTGGAGAGCAGACTGCTGCTTCTCACAGGCTATCACTAGGCGCTCTACCTCAGCACCATTGCTATGTTCCACCTGGAAGATTTAGCCCCTACATGGACTCGCTTACTCTATTTACATGCCCACCTTTATCTAACAACAGCAGGTAGGTGATTGAAAGCTTGCACTCCCCTTTACAGTGCAATAACACCGTCTGTAAAATTGAGTCTTGATTGTGGGCTGGTGTAAATCACAGCAACTTGGCCTCCATGCTTGTTTTGCAGGCGGGAGTGTTGTGCAGAATTTGAATGCACTTTGGGGGTGCCAGTGGGTTGAATGTTACTCAGACAGACAGATGGACACACAAAGGGACAGACAGCAAGACACAGGAAGGGATAAACAGGCAGATATGTTAAAAACATGGAGCCTTAGAAAGAAATACATCAATATAATAGTAGTGCAGTATAATATATTCCAGACTACATATTTCATTGCTCTTATCTCTTCGTCTCATTTGAATACTTTTACTGGCTGTTAGCCACCCTCTTTATTGTAAATTTATATATTACGATTCCATACGTTATATTTCTTTGGCAATAAAAGAAATTCTTTATTGTTCCAATATTTATTTTGATTTGACTTTGAGAACATGTCTGGAGGGGCTATAACAGGGAGGAGGGCAGTTCAGATATATTGTAGGGAGGAAGCAAATTAGGCCAGGATAGACAGACAGCCAACTGAGACCACATGGTAATGCTGGGAGGAACAGACTGAGAGATGGAGGGGGTTAGACAGGGAAAGCAGGCAAGACAGTAGCTCTCGCAACTGAATGAGAATGTGTGGATAAGATGTGCACCAGCTCAGCTCGGGTGAGAGTGCGAGTCATGCTCGTGTTGTGATTCTACTTGCCCTTTAACTTGAGTGCAAATGTTTAAATTTCACTGGTGATCCCTTGACTGTAGGCACAGTTTTTGGTAATAATAGCAGTGCTACCTGTGAGAGCAAATGTGCGTTGGACTTACAAGGACTTTGTGGTTTGTGCACTTTACTCCTTCAGGGAGTAAAGTCTTTTCCTCCTGAGGCATCAGCTCTCTGCGGGGGGAATTACAGAGGAACAAAGAGGAGTCCCTGAACAGCGGTGTTCATATGTTGGGCCATGACAGTTCCACACATTCAGCGGAACAATAAAAATCTTCTGGATCATGTTTAGGGATTGATGGCCAACTCTGTCACACAGGCATTAGTTACAGTAGTGTTTCAGAGGCTCTGCTGGGACTGTTTTGTACTTCTACGGTGATGCTCTGTAAATAGCATTAGTTGCGCTCAGTAAAGAATAGACTTGTCACATTTTCAGTGAGGCTAGTCTAGCACAACAGCTTGGAGACCAAGCCACTGTGTACGCATGCATAGACTTGCCAGACAAAGGGATCGGCACTTGTCAGCAATTTTAAACGGACTCAGGGCTGCATACATGTGGGTTTGCTTGAAGGAAGAAGAACCTTCCACACGCACGCACATACGCACTCAGTCGAGCTGAAGACTGAAGGCAATTTGGCTTCGGTTGCAACAGCTCGCCCTGGGCTTGAATGAGGAAACACCTGTGTGTCAGAGTGGTGCTATGGCAACTCTTCCTGTTCTGTGATCAAGGCCAGCATGAGGCTCCTTTTTGAGAGAACAGCCCACTGAGCAAGGAGTGAGAAGAGACCCTATATCTGGAAAGAACCCAAAGCAGGATCAATCCAGTGCTCATTTTTTCAGTATCTAAGAGAAATGAGTGATAAGACATGGCGCTTTGGTGTGACGTTCAGTCCTTAACATGTGCTAAAGTCCCAAAAAGCTTCCCTCCAGATTCAGTTGAATCGTTTTCACCAAATATACACATCATGCGCAAAGATCCAATCTGTCCAGAACAAACAAATGGAGCATAAAACAAGGGGTTTACCTTGATACCCGACATCATGCTCGCATCACCTGCCCTACTATGGCAAAGGAGAACAAGGGCGGGGCGATATCAAGGGTTTGATTTAGATTCAGACACTTAAGCCGTTTCTGTTGCAGCACAAGAATCGTCTCTCATTCTAATCTCAGCAGAGATCCACCCTGAGCCAGGAATATCCCAAGATAAATATGGAAAGCGAACAATGCGATTGCTGAGCAGCAACTTCCCATTTTTTACACCTCTCGCCTCTAATCCTCTCCAGCAGCACTCCTGAACTGCCGCTCCTCATCTAAATCTGCCGGCACTCCGGGTGAACAGTCTGATATTACACTGCTGCTTCACTTTCCCTCTGTCATTATCGCCACCAATTCAGCTACTGGCCACACCTTAAAAGGGGGCTCTAACTACCGACTCTCCCCTTGTAATAACAGTTGCTCCAGTCCCTGTGTGAGATATTAAAATTATTCAACCCGAGCCTGGTTATCTAGACAGTTACTAGATCCCATCTGCCTCTAAAGCTAAACACTCCTTTCACTGACTGAATTCAGATGCTTAGGAACAAGAGCCTTCGCGTACACTCACATTCACACACATGCACTCTTTTTCACTACATTGCTCTACAGATTGAAATGTGACAGGGGTGCTTGATGATTGCATTTGGAATTGGAACAAAAAAAAAGAAAACAAAACAAAACAAAAAATCCATAAATGATCAGAAAACAGTGTCATTTTTGTAAGAAAATCATGCACCATCTTTGATCACCATGGAAAATACCTTCATCTTCATCACCGTCGTTATCCGATAAATCCTCGCCCTGTTTTTTTGCATGGGTCCCTGTTATTGAAGCAGGGAGAGACATAGAGAGGCACAGGGAAATTCAAAATAGCATGTTTGGAAAAATAGAGATGGGAAGAGAGGCATTTCAAAAAGTACACACGAATTACAACAGTGCTGATTTAAATACATTCCCACACAATTTTCATTTTGCACAGAGAGCATATACAATTGCAGGACTACAAACATAAAAAAAAAACAACCTTACAATGAGGAAAAAAACAAACATTTCTATCTTACAGAATTATATATGAACACAACTTCACTGCTACTATAACGTGTATCTGTAGCAGAGTCATACACCACTGACATTTTCAGAAAATCCATTTAAAATTTATCAGGAAAAACAACCCAAGCCTATTTATGTGAGTTACTTTTTTCTAGTCTGTTGGAGAAGCGAACAGATACACCAACTCATTCAGTTTTTGTTTTCTTTTTATGTTGATTTTTGGAGGATTTTGTGCATTTAAACACTGTAGGAGACTCTAGGAAGTCTCCTTGGTATTAATTTGTAACTTGATAACAGAAAAATGATACTTGAGCACAGGAAAATCAGGAAGCTTTTTGAAAGGAAACGTTTTAAACTACAAATGCAATTTCTCCAGAGCTGCTGAGATCTGAATAAATCCTAACAATGCATGCAATTGGTCTGTCTGTCTCTTTGCCCAAAAGAGTCGCTAATATCTTGTCCTTGTGCAGTGTTTTGCAGTAGTACATAAATGTACTCCCCTGGGTCTGCAAGCTATATCTTCACCTACCATTTCCCATAAGCATTTGACATCCTTGTCATTTTTGTGGCTCACCAGCAGCACAGTCTAAGGATATCAGCAGTGATTAGTCAACAGGGCAATCCATCAAAACCATCCATTTAGTAGTCAATCATCCTCTCACAAGCTTTTAAACATATTGGGAATATAAATAAAATAGAAAAATGTTTTCTAATCTTTTCTATTTCTTTTATAAACCTTGCAGATCTTTGGTGATGCCCTGATCCGTTATCTTGATGCCTGTTCAGGTCCGCTCCTCTTCTGTACTCACTACAGCAACTCCTAATGCTTTTATTGACCTTGGGCATTTCCTCCAGTGAAAGACCAGAATGAATACAAATTGATAACAAAATATAATAGGCTGATTGACATTGAATTAACAGACCCATTCATTATTCGAAGAAGATGACTTATTTGAATAATGCTTTTGCAGGAGTGATAAGCTTGAGCCTTGCGTGAAACAAATGCCACATCTTCTAACATTAATTTGCAGGCAATGAACATGATTTCACGGGGAATTTTTGGTCTCTGCCCATGTAATCCTTTTTTTTATTCTCATGACCTTGGAGGAAATTGAGGTGGGGACCATGAAATGTGCTGTAGATTCCCGATCAGTAGGGAAGATCCCAGTAAGCACAGAGGTTGCAAACAGTAATGGCACAGCAGACAAAAGTGGATGCACTCAGACCACGAGACTCAGCGAATGTTAAAGCGTGAACCTCTCAATCCTCTATTTGCTGTAACGGAGAGTTTACAGTATTAGGAAACTTTTTCTAACGTTCATGCCGAAAACGCAGTCAGTCTGGTGGACTCGGACTTGAACGCTATAACTCACAGAAGTCAGAAGCAATGTGGACCTCATCGATACTGGTTAAACAGGCTCTATTTGAATAAATGCGTTGTCCTCTTTGAATACCTCATGCATTGTTAATTGATAGATGCAATACAGTGTTATGCATAATGTAAAAGGCTGAGCGTGATGGTATTTACTGAGCAAATTTATGCTCTGAACTGGAGCCATGGTTGGTACAGCGACTTTGTTTAATCTGCCCATCATTTTTCAATTATAGGGTGAATGAATAATGCAGACTGTATATCATGCTATATTACTTTTAGATAAACAAAGATAATGATATGAATATACCAACTTTAAGCTTAAATGCCAACATTTGTGTCATCTCGTTGACAGCAGAAGGTAAGTGGACTGTTGGTGAACAACACCAATTTGTTATTGATGAGATTTTGATTAATAATAATGCCAATATCCAATCTACTAGTATGTTCTTTATCATTTTCCTTACTGAGCATCAACTTGCTTAGTAGAAACAGAGCAGCATGGGGGCCGCTGCCATGCGTTTGAAGTCATTGTTTTGCAATGCACAACAGTCAGAAAAAAAACATATCAGTATTAATAAAGGGAATTTCTAAACTTGGAGGCACGGTATTCCAATGCATTGGTTCTCAAATCCCATCTACCCTGTATCTACAGCCAAATAATAACAGAAATGTGGGACTCGTATAACAAAATAATTAATCTGGTGTTCCAGTCAGCTACTTGGTGAATATGTTGCTGAATATGTTGTAACTTCTGCGCCAGGATATATTTTTGGAGCCCTCTGTGTCAGCAGCCCAGTTATGCCAGCACAGTGATCTTACTGAAGCAAATGTGTTGCTTCAAGTAGCGCTAATGTCAACTTCCCTTTGTAGAAATCAGCTACCATTAAGTTATCAAATGTCACATTTATCATGTTGGCTTTCTAGAAACCTACAAGAAGATTAACAGCCTGAACAGAATATAGAGCTTTGGTGGAGACCGGCAGGTCAGGCAGCTACAAATCAGCATGACCTGTTGGGCATGCATCATGTTGTTTTATTCTCTTTTTGCCTTTTTAAATGCATTTTCACAACCTGTAGTGACATTAGCTGGCTACTCGTACAAAGAAATAAGATACATAATGACACCATCTTGACAAAGAAGGAACAACAAGCCAACTCCAACTATGTTTTATGGATTCTTGGGACACATAGACAATACTAGCTAACGCTAACTGTTTCCAGTTCTTTTTTCATATACTGTTCTGGCTACTGTTTATTTAAATAGTAGTTTTGCAAGAATTCAGACAACACAAGCTACAGTAATGATGCCAGTAAGCAGGCTGGCATTGCTGGGGCCTTTAGGCAGTGGGTGCTATTACTGGCATGGCTCACTGTTGTAGAACTGGTGACTGTAATAGCTGCACAGGATTTTTCAACTGTCAACCCGGTTGGCAGCAGCCATATACACGGTTGAAGACCTTGGAAAACAATGACAGAATTTGGTCTGGCTTGGTTCTGGTTGAAGGCAGGTGGCAGTGGCTGGTGCAACTGTGGAGATGCAGTCACATGAGGGGGACATAACAGTGAGAGTGACAACGGCTTTGTCGAACAGGGAAAAGGAAGCCACATGGAGAACACTCGCTGTCTCAAAATGCTAAAGAATAAGGCGCAAAGAGGGACCTGCATGATAGGAGATCTGGACAAAGTCTCAAATGAGTATTTGCAGGAGAAGATTACTGAGTGAACATAAACTTCATCAATTATGTAAAAGTCATATGAGACCTATATATAATAAACCAAAGGGAATATTTGGTAGACATTTTAGAGTTTGCAGTTTATTTCCTAAACATGATTAAATAAGACATTGCTAATTGATTCAAAGCTGTTATTAATGTATGTCCCTGGGTACAAACTGGAAGCACAGGAAAACTAGGAAAGGAGAGGGAGCAATAATCTCCACTGGAAACTCAATAAATATTCAACAATTGTAATAGTGTCTGATTCTTGCTATTAATTTTTAATAGCTATTACTTTTTTGTCTTAAGTGGTCTTTTGGATTATGATTTTATAAAATCCTCCTGCTTTTGACAGTGTTGTTAATGATTACACAAATCAATCAACCTTAAATCTGAAATCTTTCTCTTTTTGGTGATTATAACAACGATCGGTCAACACTTCAAATGTCAATTACAACATTTGACCCCTATCAAATTATTAAAGATGACATGCAAATCACAAAATCTGTCAGGGCACAAATTAATTCTTATGAAGTGTTGTCTACAACATCAAATTAACTGAAGTTAACTGTTAACCTAAAGCTATACACAATATATTAATTGTTGTAAAATGGGACAATTTTAGGCAGGAACTTGTTAAGGGTGATGTTCTTATTGTATTTTTTTAATCAGATTTTTTGGCAGATTTTCTTTAAGTTCTATATAAATAAACTGATTACTAAAAATGAATAGCAATCAATCAAATAAAAAATGTTTAACCTGGTCCAGCGAAGTTCAATGAATTCATGAACATAGCTCTATTAATAAAGTCTACAGTGTAAGAGACCCGTGTTATACAAGATTTAAGGCACATGCTGCTTATACTGTAACTCATTGTCAGTATCATAGCCCTAACCCAGCAATAAAAGGAAATAAATACTACACAGCTACAGCCAACAATGAGTAAACATAAAACTGGGGGTCAGTTGGTTGGTAACTATAAGTGCTTTTCTAATCAATTCATTTATTTTAAAACCAGTGCACTACCTTTACAAAAGTAAAAAAAACAAACAAACTATTATGGATTTTGTCAACCATTCCATTATCATCAGGACCTTTTTTTTAAATAAGGCAGAGTGATGCTAATTTATAAATCAGGAGCAGCTCATCAGACATACAATTATAGTCAATTAGTATCGTACCTGTATTTTCTAATCTTCAGTAAAAGTTGTAGCTCACCACGAAGAAAGTAGAGTCAAACCATTATCTACAGCCATTAGATTCCACCTGAATTATTCCACAGAGACTGCTAATTGCTTTTTTTATAGAACAACTTAAGTCATCATTTGATAAAAGTGAAGAACTCTGTGCAGTTTTCTCTGGATCTTAAAAAGGCGTTTCACACATTAAATCGTGGTATTGTTAATCATAACCCTCCCAGTTTTTATTTATCTGATATAAACTTATTTTTGGTATCTTTAAATCTTATCTTTAGAACAGTAGACGATGATTATGTCACCTTTATATATACAGTATGACCCACTTACCAAAAACTTGTCTTGAAACAAGTTTTTAAAAGTATGGCGGTGATCCGCTCATAAATCCGGTCATTTAACAGCAGCATGGTTCGGAAACTGGTGTTTTATACTCAGCATGAAAAACAATTCTTCCGGGGCTTGGGCCTCAATAAAAATAAATGGGT